TACTCCCTTTCTCCCCCTATCTATTTGCACATGACCTGGAAAACATTCGCACCTGTCTTTCTGCATGACTAATTCAATGTAGTTTATTTGCTTATCATTCTTATATCTCCTAATGTATTTTCAATAGTATGTATATCCCTGTATGTAGAGTATTCACCTCAACTCTACCGAAATTTGATGAATCCATTTATTTCCTGCTTTATTAACCTTTGTTGCATGTTTTAAATTTGTATCGGTAAATAAATGTTTCCAATGGTGAGTGTAGAGGTAAAATATGTAAACTAGAGGGCAAAGTTCAACAATAGCTTCCCAAGGGATACGAACTCACGAGTGATCTTCAGTCGACCAATCATAAAAATAAGTGACTTTCGTATAAAAAAAATGACGTATATTTACAAGAAAATGCATGAAAACAAATTAAACAGGGTATTTTTCTATGACATGACTTAAAAATACATCCCAGTTATAATGAGGAGTATCAGTTGCTAAGTTAGACTAGTTCCTGTACATGTATTCACCGAGGTGACTAAAGATGCGCTGTTTTTGTGAATTGTTTGTCTCTTTTATCCTGTTGTGCAGTCTTCCCCAAAAGCCCTCGGTTGAATTACTGTGGTTTCCAGTAAGAGGATCGACGACTACTTACCAGGAAAATGTGGATAATGAAACAAATTAAAATAAATGACATCAACTATAAATCTATCCCTAAGTTGCCTACTGACTGGAGGAAAGGTTACCTCGTGAAACTACCAAAGAAGGGCGACCTAGGACTCTGCAAGAACTGGCGAGGAATCATGCTCCTGTCGACGCCAAGTAAAATTCTGAGTCGCATCATCCTGGAGAGAATCAAGGACGCACTGGATACAGAACTCCGACCAGAACAAGCTGGATTCAGGAAAAGCAAATCATGTTCTGACCAAATTGCAACTCTACGCATTGTCATCGAACAAAGCATGGAATGACAATCAAACCTCCACCTCAACTTCATAGACTTTGAGAAGGCCTTCGACAGCGTTGACCGCGAAGTAATTTGGAAACTACTCAAGTACTATGGCGTACCCCAAATATTCATCAACCTTATCCAACAGCTGTACCACAACGGCACATGTCAAGTGATCCACAACGGAAAACTCAGCGAAGCGTTTGGAGTAAACACAGGAGTCAGACAAGGGTGCTTATTATCACCAATGCTATTCCTAATTGTCGTGGACTGGATTATGCGTCAGACTGTGGGAAACGAGAAGACAGGGATATCCTGGACCGACGTGAAGAATCTAGAAGACCTGGATTTCGCGCGTGGATGATTTATGCTTGATGTCACACAAAATCGAAGACTTACAAGCGAAAACCGACAAACTGGTCGAAGAAGCAGCAAAGACAGGACTCCAGGTGAACATAGACAAGACGGAGGTTATGAAAATAACCAACCAACAACAACAACAGCAGCAACATCCACTGCCAATCACCATCAACGGGAGGGATTTGAAAGAGGTTACTTCATTCACTTATCTAGGGAGCATTGTCTCAACTACAGGAGGAACGGACGAGGATGTCAAATCGAGAATCGGGAAGGCGAGAAACACATTCATCAACCTGAAACCAATCTGGAAACCTTCGTCACTCAGCATCAACAACAAAATTCGGATTTTCAATACAAACGTCAAGTCAGTCAGTTCTTCTATACGGATCAGAAACTTGGCGGCGGGTCACAAAGAATATTTCCAACAGCCTGTTGCAGACCTTTATCAACAGCTGTCTTCGTTCTATACTCAAGATCAGATGGCCGGAAACAATCACCAACAAGAAACTATGGGAACGAACAGAACAAGAACCAATCGCTCAACAAATATGCAGGAGAAAGTGGAGATGGATTGGACACTCACTGAGGAGACCACTGGGTGACATCGCGCGTCAGGCCAACGCTCGAGTGGAACCCGAAAGGGAAGCGGCGAGTGGGACGTCAGTGGAAGGGTGACATGGAGGAGATCGTGTGAACAGGAACTAAAACAGTATGGATTAAAATGCATGCAAGTGAAAAATACAGCAGAAGACAGAAGCAAGTGGAGGCGTGCAGTTGAAGCCCTATGTTCCACTAGGAACCCAAGGGAACAATAATAATAAATAAATCTGTCCCTAATCGTAACCCTAACCCTAAACTTAACAGTAACCCTAATTACAATCCTTATCCTAACCGTAAACCTAACCCTAATGCTAATTATGACCTTGATCATAACTCTAACCTTAATCCCAACCCTACTGAGCTATTAACACATTGTCAAAACAGTACTTAAAAACGTGATATGGGTGTGATATTTGCTGCTTAGCAGAAGAATGGCGTTGATATTTCAGCTATGATAGTGACAGGTGCCCTTTGCCAACAACTAGCATGCGTTCAATGTCATTGGAACGTTCGCACTCCTGGCACGCTATTGCTGAACTTTGCCTATACTAGTAGGGGTGGAGGGGACAGTAACTATTGTCACATAGCAATTAGATAATATAATGAGTCATCTACGGTTGTATATCGACTACCGAACAATCTACCTAAAGGTATACGATTACGTCTTTTAGCTATAGCGGAAGCTACAGGGATTAATTAGAATTATATGTACAAAAGAAGCACATTCATCCTCTGTTTACTCTAGCCTACTATAAGGACAGCAGAGACATTATCATCCATATTTTCATGTTATAATATGCCTTTCTCATTCCTTTTCACCTAGTTCACTTTACTCCATTATTACCTTTATTATGTGTCAACCTTTTGTATAATTTACACAAAGCTTATAATGTCTCTAGTATTTTATTACAGTTCACAATCTAACCTCTTTATTTTAACACTACACCTGATACCTGTCAGCACTTGTTTGAACTTACATTCAGTGTTCCTCGTTTTTGGTAAGTGTTTTGTGGTAATCATTTTCCTCGTACACCATTGAATATAATTCACCCCCACCCTCACTCAAACTTATATTCTGTTGACTATATATACATTACTATGTCACGCTTTTGTCTATTCACACTTTATTTTATGTTCTAAATGACTGCACATTTTTTACATACGTTCATTTGAAAATACTAAATACCCAGCTATCCCTCCATATTACACATGTAACCCAACAGTAGTTTCTGATATAATTTTCACATGCCTTTAATGACTCGCTATTTGTATTCTAATAATATTCATGGATTTATAACTGTAGAGCCTGAGGAAGAATTTATCGAAACCACAATTGTTCGCTCAAAATCATCTGGTTCTGAATATAATAATAATAATAAATAAATTGTGAAACCGAGATTAAAATGCACAACTACAGCACGATACAACATGATAGTGATAATAAAGTTAGCATCACAAATAAAATAATAAGATAATATTTACAATTATTCGGTGCCACCCAGAGAGATATCTATTCTAGGTTGAGGTGAAGGCCAAGGGGGGGGAGAGAAATTCAACAAAAACTTTTTCTGAACACACAGAGATTGGGTTGAAAGTTTCTTATTATGTCAACTGCCTCAGATAGACCTTACAACTTACAAGACGTACCAACCTACAGAGTTGACATGGCACCCTATTAGTAGAACTGAAAAAGTTGAATTTTAGTCAGTCCATGAGGTGGGTGTGGCAGTATGGTACTTTTAATTGACTTTACGAGTACTTCTTTATCCAACCACACTGGATTAATAGGCTACAAGCAGAGTTTTATTGATGACAATAAAAAATAACATGTTTCGTTTTTATCAACTTAGAATGGATTGAGATAAGCACGTGTGTTGTAGTGATAATGACTTCAGGGAATCGAACACAGTTGAATGCCATAGAACATTCCTTATTTATTTTTATATTTAATTAGCAATAGTCATTGTAATAGATCAATGAAACAACACACTTGTTTGCATCCAAATAAATGTATTTGAGATTTGACCAATTCAGATAAACAATAATCTTAAACCGAAAAATCTGTTGATCAATATCCCCGTTTGTAGGTTTTGGGCGGAATTCAGATTAATTACAATTGCTGGATTTTCACCACGAACCGACATCCCTTACAGAGATGATTGAAAACCAGATGGGAGCACTTTATAGCCGTTTCGTCCTATTCTGAGACTCTTCATCAGTGTGCACCCAAAAACCTGGGACATTCAGGCTACGGGACAAAGCATTGTTGACCATTCAGCCAATTAGACCGCAATTCAATGACCTGTGAATTCTAAGTAAATCAAATTATGATATTACGCTGCCCCTCACCAATGGCCTTCGACATGCAACCCACTTGACCTTGACATGGTGGGCTCCATTGGTCATGACTCTCCACTGCAGCAGCCTTCAGGAAATGCATTCAGTAGCAGTCATCAGTGAGCTGACGATTGATATTCAGATTAAAATCGTCCAGTGCCCCCTGGTTTTCAATGATCTCTCTAAATGGTGTTGATTCATAGCGGAGAACCACTATCATTGAACTACAGAATCATTAGATTAGATTTAACTGGACAACTCATCAGTTGCAATGCTACTAAATGAAGAGTTAGATAATGACAATTTCAATCCCTGAAGGGATACTTGTCCCATCGACTATTAATAATAAGTACAAGACTAATGCACATATGTTAGGGTTTCAGCTGATTATCACAAACGTCAAATGAACTACAGAGTTACACGATACTTAAACAATACAGTCAGTATTTCACTTCACTGAGGAGTGTTTCCTGTGCACTCGGATAAATACTGTGTAGTGTAATCTCCTGAAACTACAAACCCCTTCTATACACTTCTATTTTGAATCTTTCTTCAACACACGAATACTGAATTACATCAGAATTTGAGTAAAACAAGACATTGTAAGGGAATCAACTGCTCATGAATTCCAACTGAGTTGTAGGCGCGCACAAACAAGAATTCAATAGCATACCATAAAGATGAGTCAATCAATGCTGATTAGTATTAAAACAACAAAAAAACTCTAAAAACTTCACAGCAGTATTTTTAGATCAAACTAATTTACCTCGAAATGTTGATTCCAAACAGGCTCCAAAGTTTCTTTGACCACTGACGTATTAAATGATCTAGCACCAACTGGAAATTGAAGCGAGGAAAAGTAAATCTTTGAATATATTATTATAATTTTCATGCCTACTAAAGTCAGGTAGATATCATCATAAGCCACTCTTATCTAGAGGAGCATCGAAAGTCTACTTTGTCTTAGTTCAGGACAGGTGAGTAGTACACGCCCAAGAGGGCATGATATTATCCTTCGGTTGCTGAGTTCTTATTGAATAAACAACGACTTCCAACATTTATGGATTCACGATATAAAGCTGAACTTCGAATCAATGACACCGTTAGGTTACTTATCTCCTACTAAAATTATTTGATACCTCTGGAGAGAAATGGCTTTTTTTTCACCAAAACTCAAAAAACATTTCTTGAGACCGGTTATCAATGAGGTACTGGAGGGTTGTCCAAATTCGTTTATGGAGAACAAACAGTCTTGCTGAGAGTAAATTTCACCCTAATTCTGCATTTTTTTAAAATAACCTTAAGTAATTTTGTGGATAGTGACTAGCAGTGGAATCCAGGATGTGCATTTCGTCCTATTTGGGTCTCATCAGCTAAATTCTCCCCACTCATTGGGAGATGCATATACATCCAGATGACGAGTCCCAAAGTAGGACGACATTTGCATGGTGGATTTCACCACCAGTCACAATCAACCAAATTGCTTCGAGTTAATCCTCATCCATTGTTGAAACATTTCGGTCGAATCATCAATCAACTGGGAAATCAAAAATTGATTTAAAAATAAGAAATTCTCTACACGAATTTTCTGATTCAGAAATGCTAAGTAAATCAACCAATGTATGTACTGTGAATGACCATTTATTTCCTACAAGAATACTTTCTTTAGAAGTATTAAGGGAAGAGAACTTAGACACCATGGTAGAGTATAAATTTTTTGTTCAAGTATTGGTTTGTAGGGATTTAGTTGATTGGTTACAGGATTTCATCATGAGCTGACATTGGTTAGAGAATCATTGGAAAACCTAGGAGTACTGGACAACTGCTTCGTCCTAGTTTGGAACTCTTCATCAGTACGCACCCATCGCCAAGGTTCGAACCCAGGACCTTCTGGTTACAAGGCGAGCTCGGATACTACTAAGCCACTGGGACCCGATCCAATGGCCCATGAATTCTAACTTCTGCCAATTCACGATATAGCACAACCGCTAGCCAATGTCTTCGGTGAGTATTTGTCCTCACACCCGACCTGCTGCACCCTACTGGTCACGACTTCCCACTGGAACCCCAGGTATAATTTTTTTATTGGATAGACACATGTGTGACATGTGTGTGCGAAGGGTATTAAAGGTTGTCATGAGGACAGTTAGTGTGCCACTAAGTCAGCTTCTTACTATTGTAGCTGACAGACATCTGAAGTCATGAGAGAAGTGGACCACATATATATATAAACTGTCCATATCGTCTGACTCTCATCACTCACTCCCTCTCTCTCTATTCACAACTCTCCCCTTGCATCCCATCATCACATAGGACTAGAAGTCATTATAAAAGATTATATGTTTATACAATTAAGTACGAAAATTCAACGATACTCTACTTGTCCCACTTTTTATACACATTTTTTGACATTATAGTTATTGTCATTGCTAAGATGTTGCTATTAGCAATTTTGTTCACCACCTATACCCTGTGATGTTCTTTTTTTGTTATTGAATAAATTAGATGCAACAACAATATTGTACCAAATGCTGAGAATTCCATGCTGTATCACACAAGTACTACTGTTTTTGGAATAAAGCAAGCTATTATTATTATTATTATTAAATTTTTAATTGAAATAAACTAGAGAAAAACATGCAGTCCATTCATACAACAATAACAACAACAGCAGCAGCAAAAAACAATCATAGTTACCTCGTATAACACAATATGGATCTGAGGTATGACGACCGATCATACTCTTGTCACCTGCTTTTAAATTACGACCAGATATCATATTGACATGAAGGACACCCTTAATAAGTTGAAAAATATTGAGAAGGACAATGATCAAATAGGTAAGACTATATGAAGTAATTAAGTAGTGGTAGTAATAATAATAATAATATTTATTATTATTATAAAGACAGGATCAACTCAAAACTGTTCAAACACGTATTAGAAGGATGTTAGTAGTGAAACCCCCAGGTTCATTTGGTTCTATATTGGGACACGTCAGCCGAATATATATATATATATATATATATATATATATGCATCTTAGTTAAGCAGTATGTTCCCAACGACACTGGAACCAAGCAAAAATCGATCTAAATGCATAAATGTCATCCATTTAGCAGTTGAATAACGTAATCCATATTGTATACAACAGGCATCAGTTAATATTTGTTGAAAGGTATGAATCACTCATCTGTTTATACTACAACCTAAATAATTAGTCTCTGTAGACATGTGGCGTATACCTTGTGACAAGATTTATCAGTAGTATATCGGTGCAGACTAGTAGGAAACGGCTAAAACTGTATTCGACATTTTAAGTCAATGGCTGCACAGATAGAAGCGTTTATTCTTCAAATCTGAATTTAATTTACTTTGTGATAATGAAATAACCTCATTGGACAGCCTTGTTTAACCTTGGGCCAGTCATCAACCAATCAGAACAATCTTTTGTCCACTGATGTAAACGACTTTTATTCTAGTTAAAAATATATAAATATGATGTGTTTTTCCGCAGTAAAAAAGGTTCGTTACCAAATTTTCTTGTCTTTTGCTGTTACAGGCATAGCGGTTCACAGAAAGGTTGTTTAGATAAAGCCTAAAATACCTCAGAAATAAGGTAGGAATCTGTCGAGTGGAAACATATTCCGAAATAGACGATTGACGTCAAGTTTGTTGACATTAGATAGTATTACACTCAATCGGTAGGGAGTGAAAAATGTTATCCTATTGCACTAATCAACTTCTATCGGTCAGATAGCCTAAAACGCTTGTAATTTAATCATATAGGGAGAGAGATTACGTGGCGTAATTAACTTGGTGGCAAAGTTGTTGACTACAGTACTAGATGATTGAGGTTCAGTATTTCCTAGCCTAACATCAAGGTTTCTAACAAATAAACAGAAACATGCACGGGAGTAAAATATTGATAATTTCTAGGTAATGAACAACAATAATATGACTATGTTTTGAAATGCCATGTAGCATATTAGGTTATAAACATCTTTGGATTCATGTAAATGCCAGTGCGAGTGGCAGTCAAATCTCAGCCTTCAACGGCGATGACCATAGCGTAAATTGGAAACTACTTCAACACTGTAGGGTGCCCCAAATATTTATCGACTCCACTCAGAGCTATATGCCACAATGAAAAACTCAACGACGCATTTGAAGTGAAGATAGCAGAAGTACAAGGCTGTCTGCTATCACCGATGATATTCCTAATTGTGGTGAACTGGATTATGCGGCACACTGTGGGGAGCGACAAGACAGGAATATGTTGGACTGATAAGAAGACTCTAGAAGATCTAGACTTCACAGATGATTTATGTCTAATGTCACACGAACACGAAGATTTAAAGGCGAAAACCAACAAATTGGCAGAAGAAGAAGCTGACAGCAAAGGCAGGACTTCAAATGGACATACAGAAGACGAAAGTGATGAAGATAACCAACAACAACAAGCACCAATCATTATTAACGGAATAAACTTGAAAGTGGTCACTTCCTTCACTAATCTATCTACGTAGCGGCATCGTTTCAACTACAGACTGGGGCAAAAATGAGGATGTCGAAGCGGTTAGGTAGACTTTCATCAACCTGTAATCAGTTTACGCATCTTCTGAAATCAGTCAGAATAAAGAACAAAAGTCAGATCCTCAGAGCCAATGTTAAGTCAGTTAGTTCTCCTATATACGTCAGAAGCTTGTCACCAGCGTCACTTCTAAAAAGCTACGGCGGACTTCTATCAGCATCTGCCTTCTCTAGCTCCATACTGAAGATGAGATGGCTGGCTGGCCAGAAAGAATCAGTAACAGAAAGCTCTGAGGACCAACTAGTCGAGAACCTATGGCTAAACAAATATTCCGAAGGAAATGGAGATGCATTAGACACACACTGAGGAGGCCAATAAAACCACTAGACAAACTATCATCGACCTTCACACCTAGGATGATACATGTATCATCCTGTGTTCACACATACTTGACAACCCTCTTGAAGTTATAGATTTACAGTAAGGACGAATGAAAAGTATTTCAAATTAATGACACAGAACTCTTTAGAAAACATTAGGAGATCTGTGATCTGAAGAAATTAATCCATTGATAGGCTCAGTTACAATACAACTCTCATTAATGATCACTATTTGTCCAGCTGATATATCACATAAAAATACTCAGAAAACTTCGATTATCTAACAACCGGTCATCCGTCTTATAGTTTTCAAAACACTAAAAAAAATTAAAGTTATCTAGAAAAGGAAAACGTCATTCAGTGAAGCTGCGATGACTGAAGTACTCATCAGAAAACAAAATAATCAAGCACACACACACTAGACACATGAATAGCTCATACAGTTGAGCACACATAGCCCTGTTATTAGTGTAAGCGGGAAATTCATATAGCACAATACTACGGTAATTTTAAAACCGTTTTCAATTAACTGCACACTAAATACAAGTGGGGTCCCAGTGGCTTAATGGTATACGAACTCGTCTTGTAACCAGAAGGTCCTGGGTTCGAATCCCGGTGGGTGCGTACTGATGAAGAGTCCCAAACTAGGACGAAACAGCTGTTCAGTACTGCCAATATGGTGTCGGTGGCATAGCGGTTAGGACGCTCGCCGACCATGCACATGGTCCAGGGTTCAATCCCCGGCCGACGCACTCCTTTACCTCGCTAAGCCAGAAATAATGCTGGTGAAGAGGAAAGGTTGGGCATGAGGCTAGCAACCCCATCCTGTAAAATAAACACTGCTACAGAAACTTCAAGCCACTAGCTTGAAGCCCTATGTTCCACTGGGGAACGTGAAGGAAAAAAAATACAAGTGAGTAAATATTGCACAGAACTTTTAACTAGTGTGTTACAATTTCGAATTTTTGTCCACATTGACATTCTGAATATCATGTAGTATGATAGACTTCGAGAGAGGTGATGGGCGAAGTTAAAGTGCCATAAACAAAGTCAAGATCTGTCAAGGAGTTGACCTTCAAGAACCAGTGCGACTAAGGGATAGTTCACTAGAAATTAAATTAGGACCGTCTTTCTGAATTTGGCGTGGACAGATACAGTACTCAACTCATCCCCTAGGTACTTTATCCGTCAATCCATATTTTTATTTGGGGTTATGGTATTTAAAGATTAAGGTAAGGATTACGGTTAGAGTTAGGGACCTCAAAGTACTATGATCTACAGTCACCTGAATGAATGCATCTATTTTGCATGCTGTGATTTCTTTATAGATTTTCTACAGACTGACAGATATCCTAATATCGTATAAGAGACAATTATCCAGTGTACTATAAATGTTTGCAATGCTTTTAAAAGCATTTTTCATTGATCATACGACACTTTTCGCATCTGAATCCTGATTGGTTGTTCAGGGTCACTTTGATTTCGGCCATGGTAGTCTAATTTCGCTAGATGACGCTTACTAAACAAACGTGTACGTAGTTAATAACTGGTTTATGCATCATCACAGTTACGCATTGCAGCATCGCATTTATGACATTCAGCATCTTTATTACACATGATGTGTACAGAACTTTTAGTTCAAAAACAAAAGCTGAACAAAAACTTACTTGTGGTAATGGATATTTCAGACTCTGTATATCAATATCAGGGAGAAGTTGAACTGGTAGACGATTAGGAAGAACAACCAACTGGTTGACAACATTACGAATAACTGTATTCAGAGTTTGTCTATAAGTTTTGAAGAAAAAAAGTAGGAAAACGTGTAAAAAATTTCCAAATAAAAAATAAGTCACTTAAGGAATACCACATTTCAAAAAATGCCAACGAAATATGACTACAACACATTCAGTAGTTGCACGTAATCAACCTTGATATTAAAAACAAAAGTAGAATTTAACACCTACATTCCACGGTGAGGGTTCCGTGACATTAATAAACAATTCAAAGCAAGTTCCACACACACACACACGCTGAAGTCATCATTTCTTTATTTAAAGCAGTGATGTAATTGCATTTTAGAATTTCCCGCCGATTGATTGAACCGAAGTGCTCGGTCTCAGGTTGACATGTCAGTTTCTTGTGCAGATGCTTCGACGATGTCTGGGCATTTAACTTGTATTTAATTGGTGGATGGTGACTAGCAGTGGAATCCAGGATAACGTGCATTTCATCCTATTTGGGACTCGTCAGCTGGATGTACCTGCATTTCTCAGTGAGTGATGATGTTCCCACAGAGGCTCAAACCCAGTGCCCATAGTTTCGACCGCCAAAGCGTTATCCACTAGACCACTTGGGCCATGAGACCCACCTCTTGTGCAACGGATCATATTAATTATTGAATTGAATTTTAGATTTTCCCGTCGATTGATTGGACCGAAGTGCTCGGTCTCAGGTTGACATGTCAACTTCTTGTGCAGATACTTCGACGAAATGCGCATCCTAGATTCCACTGCTAGTCACTATCCACCAATTAAAGCAGTGATGCTTCAAAAACGAGATACACAGTATAAAAATCAAAGATGAAGATTACGGTTTGTTGTATAACTGTTACCACAGTCAATTCTAACCCTCTATCCTAATGAAACTTTATTGTATGACCTATATGCATCATCAAATGCAAAAAAATGAGTGTTTTCCTGATGTTTATTGAACGCCAACTTTGCAATAACACATAAATATATCCAAGACTGTTACTGAAAGGTAAAACGATTACTGTGTTTTTCAAGAGTTCAGTACACGAGACAATCAACAGCAAAAACACTTACTGTAGCCCAGGAAGTCCAAGGATATTCCCCATGTCTGTTAACGAGAAGTTGATGTACTAAAAAGAGATAAATTAAGGAAATGCATTTTTAGTAACTAATAATTTAACCAAAACATCAACTTATACCTATTTTGAATGAAAGAATATAATAATTAGAGATTCCAAATCGATAGTGACACATGACTCAGAGCACCCGTATGCATTAGACATCCACTCCTCGGTTGATCACCAGGTCATTTTGGCATTTTGACTGATCAGTATGCTCAAAAAGCTTGACAGAGTTCAGCAGACTACATAGCACACACACGCACACACCCAAAGACTAAGAAACTCTCTATTGAGATAGCCAATGGTTAGCTCATCTTTAATTATGACTCATTATGTCTGACTTTAAAACTTTTCCTTGACAAATATTTTAAATCACTCACACTTAAATATGGGCCTGAATTATTGGAGATATTAAAATATCTTGGTACGAAGAGGATAAACAGCCCATACCCAATCATCTTTCATATGGGAACTGACTATCAATGAAATCCACACTCACTGGTTGATACTCTCTAATGCTAGGTAAGGTGGAGAAATCAATAGATGAGACTGTGAAATTACATCGACTGAGATGGTTAGAACATGTGTTACGTATGCCTAGTCATCGCCTTCCTCGACAATGGGCAATGTTAACTGATCTAGGGCCAGGCTGGAAAAGAGCTAGCGGCGGTCAAACCAAAACATGGCACCAGTCAATGAAATCCACAACAGTTAGTCTAAGCCATTAACGTAGGAAGGTATAGACTTCCTGGTTGGGGTCCTCGGGACGGTAAAAACCAATGGTTGGAAACAATTGGTGACATGGCTCAAAATCGTTCTCAGTGGCGCAGATGCATCCACTCCTTGTGACTTATATTTCTAATGAAACTGTTTTGTTCTTCGTTATTACTATTCCTTTGTCTCACACCTCTGTTTACTGTCTATACTACGCATTTCTCCTACTTTCTTCTCTTGCTTTGTGTGCTACATGGAGTGTGGCGACTTGAACTGCCGCACATATGTGGAAAGTTCCATGTCGAAAACCGACCGACCAACTGACTCTCTAAGTAGTCAAATTAACTTCTGAAACACAGGTTTTTTCTAACTGATTTCATAGTGTATGTTACCAGTCCCGACGTCAAAGCATTTCATTCAGAATGTATACAGGAGAAGATGATGTGAGTTTCCAGGACTTTTCGTTTACTATTTTGGCACTTCTATTCATCCCAAACAGTCAAAAAACTCAGATTAATTTAACTTGAATCAGAAACACATTTCGCATATAATAAATATATAAATTCAAGGATCTAAAGATGTCGATCGGTAACGCCTAAATGTCCACATTTAACAACACAACAGGAAGAATGCGAAATACATATACATAAATACGGACTAGTGTAACAAAACTTGAACCGAAGATTACAAAAGTAAACTCACTGGACTGTCGAGAAAACAAACTGTCACTGCACCAGCAAACGGAACTTTCGGGACCAGTGGCTTCATAACTACACGTAGTGTACCACGCAACTGGCATTCAGGGAGTGAAAAACAGACGAAGAATAAAAAGTGAGCACATTATATAACAGTAAACTCCACAAGCATTGGTAATTATGACACTAGTACATCACATTAATCTGCACCATCTCATAATGCATGTAACTTAATATACAACTTTTAATTGACAATAAAACAAGGTTGAAAAGCTTAAAAAATCATGATTACGATAACAGACAAGTAAAATATAACATCGTTGGAGATGAATTGCGATAAGCGGCTGCCCGTCACAGACATAGAAATTTCTCTCTTTAAATTACAATGTATATACGATAGTCCTTGTGTTGAATGCGGATGAAATGTGGGAATTACATAGAGTCCCAACAAAATCATTAGGATAGTCATCTTACCGCCATCAAATATAAAAATTCTCATTTCAACTAAAGTTACGCCAAAGGGATTAATTTTTGACTATAGCTTGAAACCATACAGTATTTTTGGTACAGGTACAGAATTTTCAGCATGTCATATCGGTAGCCTAAATATCGCAGGCCGACCATTGATATTGGGTGTAAGTCGGCCGGAGATCGAACCCTGGACCATGTGAATGGTCGGCGAGCATCTTAACCGCTGTGCCACCGACGTCACAAGTATTGAATGTGCTGTGTACCCTGCATACGATGGTGCTCTAGCACTTACACTTCTATTCGCCAAACTGTCAGATGTCGTACAGAGAAAATCCCTAAGTCACTAAAAGGAAAAGAAAAGTGTCTGCAGTTCACATCCATTTCTCTCAAAGGCCGTATCACTAATGGTGGAAGATATGAAGACTCAGTGAAACGACTATGTCAGAAATGTAAATGTTGGGTGAATATGAGGAAGGACTGAAGTGTAAACTTATACTAAATGTCCCATACATGTGCTAAGAGTACAATCAAACTACTTATTTCGATTCCATTCGATCCTTATTCTATGTTGCCTGGAACCAAAAATAATCCCAACTCTTGAACACTTCTATTATCACTTTGGAGTTGGTGAAGTTTGACTTAATTGTACTGAAAACCGAATAACATCTAGAATCCCAAATTTTATAATTGGTGAACTCTTTCCAAGTCACCGGCGGCCATGAATGAGCACCGATATATCATGCCATGCCTTATTAGGAGCACGAAACCCTCAAATAGCAGTCACAAAGAGTGCAAGTTGTCACAATGTTTCGAAATCACTTCACAAGTCAACTATAACGGGGAGGTAAAGAATAGAAGAAACCATATCAGCCAATGAAGCCCGAAATTTCAAAGACTTCGCGAAGAAAAACAGAAAGACGCGATGAAATACCGGGTAGGGACATAATGGCTTTGTAATATGGGGAGTGGACAGGTATTGATGATCCTGATCATAAAACTAATAAAAGATGGATCCACTATTAAATCACTCTACAAAACATATATCCACTGTGTGTAAGATCACATTTGTGGGTTTATGGAAAGTATAAGCCATCCTTCGAAGCTTGTTGTACCAAAAAGTAACACATTTAAAGAATTCCAAAATAAAAGAAAATAATCAGCAAACTTACACAGATAGATGGAAGACCTTACAATAAACTCCGATGTTTCTGTAATTTGTACAGTGTACGCTATCTTTGGATATACACAAGATCGAAAGTGTAATAACAGTACTGTAGTCACCAAATGTTCACGAGATATTTCCGCTTAATTTATGTATAATTCATTTCCATTTGATTAAATCTCTCGCAAATGACACTCGATGAATGTACATCTTAATTGTGGAAATGTGGCTAATTGGTTTGACCATTCGACTTCCGAACAATGGGTTCCAGGTCCAAATCCAGCCTCATCTAATTCAGCCTAGGAAACTGAACAGTGTCATCAGTCCTCACACGGTAAGTGTAACATATAGCCTAGTACTGAGAATTTCAGTATCAACTAACTAGCTAACTAACATGTCAATTCCAGTTAAGTTACACTAAGTGCTTACAGACACTTAATCCATTTAGCTAATCAAATACTTCTTCCCGTGGAAAGGGAACGACAAGCACTAATATTCATTGAATTGAAGAAATTATTCACCGAGTCGCCACAACATTATAACATATATGAACATGGCAAAATAATTCAATTCTGCACACATTTTACAGTGGCAAAAAGATGAGAATCGATAATACAGAATGAACAAAACACTCAAGTATAGGCAACTGATTTAAATGTACCTCAAATTCTTTTACACCTGCTTTGACTTTCCCCAGGTTTACCTTTATTCTCGCATCACTGTACAACCTGTACGAAAATTAGGAATAGTGAAACTTACATAAGATCCAAGTCAAGAACTATTTCATCCTTACGGATATTTTCATTCATATAAACCTTAATGCCACCGATTCGAGGAGGCTACAATATGAAATAAGGAAGAGACAAATTTACGGTGTCCCCCAAATCAATAGTTGCGAAGCTGAAAGGCGTCAATGCAGCTGGTAAATTCTGAGAAACAATAGGTTCTATATTTTGGATGACGATGTCCCTTGCATATTGACTGATGGCCGGCCACATCCGTTTAATCACCTTCCAAAATAAAAAGTTTTATATTCTTACCTTGTTAAGCCACTCAGCTCGTTCAACATCTGGAAAGTAAACCTTAAAGTGGATTGTATGTAATGCCGACTGTTACGAGCCTACCCATGATGGAAGGTCCCTGACAGAAAAATTTTGAATGATGAATGCTTTTTCATCTTCTCCGATTGCTTTTAATGAACTGATCAACTTCGAGTTCTTATTTTTAGTGTGCCGTATTACGAAGTAGCCCAATGACCCCAGTAATACCCAACTAACACTAAGTCGGAAGTACCCCACTCCATAAATAGATGCACACGTCAGCAAAAATTTAAAGTAATCCCACGATAAAGAGAGAAAAGTTTGCTTAGGAGGCAAAGTTTTCTTGACTTCTTCCTGTGAGGATGTTGCATCATCCATTAGTGACAAACTATCCGCACTTTACATTAGCGCTGTCAAGGTTAAAATCCTGAAGACAACAAACAAATCCATCATTCATGAAGATTCCAATTGAAAAGTTAGTAAAATAAGAAAGCCTACAATTTTCCTCTCTCAAATGTCTGAGTTGTAAATTCCCAAGCTTCAGGGGGATTTTCGCGAAGTGGAAACTAAGCGACTTGCACAGCTAATCTCCAGAGCAAGATACTTCAACATTAGGGCCGTATTATCTGCAGTCGGTGTGTATTTCTCTCCTAACATCACATCTGATAGAAGAGTCTCAGATAATTCAAACCGTGTAGGAGGTTTCTACTAGTTTTTAGCTACAACTGGGAACGAAAATTAAGTATGTTTAGCAATTAAATCCACATTTGCAGAAAATGAACCTGTTAGTTTCTCAGAAAATAATAGCATATACTCTGGACTTACTTCCTTAAGTTTCCCTAACATCCATACCTACTATTTTCGTGGCGAAAACTTCGTTTTCTTATGAAGACATGACGTAAAATATATAAAATTTAGTTTACAGTAAACTCTGAGCCTACTAACACGTTATCAGTGATCTGTAGTAAACGTTTTATTACGGTAGTAATCAATCTTGAACTGTTTCATAGAATGCAGTTCACAGTTGGACTCAACGTATGGAAACTGCCCAGTGTGGCTACAATGGCGTACATGTGAATCCTATCAGCTGCTCACCTTTCTTCATGTAGCATGGCTTACCTATATTCACACCGTACTACTAAAAGGCACTCTTGAGATGTAGTGAACATGTACCATCAGGAGGGCCGAACAGGGACAGGCTTGGTCACCGTGTGTCATATGTATTCCATCAATTAATTGTGGTAGAAAGCAGACGTTCCCCCACAACGCGAAAATATAGCAATAGTGAGTAATGATTGGAGTCACTAACAAAGGAAGCCGGCCGAGACAGGCGAGTAACACTCAGGTCTCCGATTTCAAGAGTCTTCGGATGTCATGAGCGCCATACCTACCTTGAGATAATGATTTGCAGGTTCGGAGATACTTGAATTTATCACCGCGTGGCCAAGATTAGGGACGATATTTAGAGACTCTGTGGTTTGTAGTCCTGTTGTTGTGGTTCGTTTTCGGCGGAGAAATAAATAGTCCTCGTATTGCCAATCAGTTTTCTCATATTCTCGCGTCGGATGTCGCACATAGCATTCTGAGGCACTGATTAGCCTTCTGGGCCCAGCGCTACGTTCAGGATCTCTTGCGATCTGGACTTTCGCAGTTTTTGATCTAACTGCCTTGTCAGTTTCTGATCTCCTGTACTGGAACAGATGACATACCATCTGTCATGTACAAAAATGGTAGCACGGAAATGGTAGTCTTGTTACTTAGAATATTTACTCTCTCGTTGGAAACTGGAACGTGTCCTTATATTATTATATTATTGTTCCCTTGGGTTCCTAGTGGAACATAGGGCTTCAACTGCACGTCTCCACTTGCTTCTGTCTTCTGCTGTTCTTTTCACTTGCGTCCATGTTATTCCATACTGTTTCATCTCCTCCTCACACGATCTCCTCCATGTCACCCTTGGACGTCCCACTCGCCGCTTCCCTTTCGGGTTCCACTCGAGGGCTCGACGCGCGATGTCACTCAACGGCCTCCTCAGCTAGTGTCCAATCCATCTCCACTTCCTCCTGCATATTTGTTGGGCGATTGGTTCCTGTTTCGTTTGTTCCCATAGCTTCTTGTTTGTGATTCTTTCTGGCCATCTAATCTTCAGTATGGAGCGAAGACAGTTGTTGATAAAGGTCTGCAACCTGTTGAAAATATTCTTGGTGACCCGCCGACAAGTTTCTGATCCGTAAAGCAAAATTGACTTCACGTTTGTATTGAAAATCCGAATTTTGTTGTTGATGCTGAGTGACGAAGATTTCCAGATTGGTTTCAGGTTGATGAATGTGTTTCTCGCCTTCCCGATTCTCGATTTGACATCCTCGTCCGTTCCTCCTGTGGTTGAGACAATGCTCCCCAGATAAGTGAAAGAAGTAACCTCTTTCAAATCCCTCCCGTTGATGGTGATTGGCACTGGATGTTGCTGCTGTTGTTGATTGGTTATTTTCATAACCTCCGTCTTGTCTATGTTCACCTGGAGTCCTGCCTTTGCTGCTTCTTAGACCAGTTTGTCGGTTTTTGCTTGTAAGTCTTCGATTTTGTGTGACATCAAACATAAATCATCCACGCGCGAAATCCAGGTCTTCTAGGTTCTTCACGTCGGTCCAGGATATCCTTGTCTTCTCGCTTCCCACTGTCTGACGCATAATCCAGTCCACCACAATTAGGAATATCATTGGTGATAATAAGCACCCTTGTCTGACTCCTGTGTTTACTCCAAACGCTTCGCTGAGTTTTCTGTTGTGGATCACTTGACATGTGCCGTTGTCGTACAGCTGTTGAATAAGGTTGATGAATATTTGCGGTACGCCGTAGTACTCGAGTAGTTTCCAAATTACTTCGCGGTCAACGCTGTCTGTCGAAGGCCTTCTCAAAGTCTATGAAGTTGAGGTAGAGATTTGATTGCCATTCCATGCTTTGTTCGATGATAATGCGTAGAGTTGCAATTTGGTCAGAACATGATTTGCCTTTCCTGAATCCAGCTTGTTCTGGTCGGAGTTCTGTATCCAGCGCGTCCTTGATTCTCTCCAGGATGATGCGACTCAGGATTTTACTTGGGGTCGACAGGAGCATGATTCCTCGCCAGTTCTTGCAGAGTCCCAGGTCGCCCTTCCCTGGTAGTTTCACCAGGTAACCTTTCCTCCAGTCAGTAGGCACCTTTCCCTCTTTCCAGATCTTTTGCAATAATGGAGTCAGCATATCTGCCGTCGTTTCTGGGTCCGCTTTCAGTGCTTCCGGGGGTATTCCATCTGGTCCAGCTGCTTTTCCAGCTTTCAGAAGCTTGATTGCATTCAAGACTTCAGTTTTCGTTGGAGGATTGGTGTCAACTTGCAGTTGTGTACGTGTTGTTGTTGGTATTACTGGACGGGTTGTAGGTGGTGGTCGGTTCAAGAGTCCTTTGAAGTGGTCCGCCCATTGTTTAATCTGTCTTTCTTCTTTGGTAATTGGGTTCTCTTGGCTGTCTTATAGGTTTCACTTGTGTTGATCTCTTCCCGGATAGAGACTTGGTTATCTGATATAGTGTCCTCAGGTCCCTTTTGCCTGCTGCCTTCTCAGCTTCAGTAGCCAGGTTGTCGTAGAATTGTCTTTTGTCCTTCCTGGCACTCTTCTTCACTTCTTTGTCCAGTGCTGTGTAAGTTGAGTTCAGCGTCTCTTTCTCTTGTCCATCTTTGCATTGAATCATTTTCTCTTTCACTTTTCTCCTCTCCTCTATTAGTTTCCTAGTGTCTGTTGAGAGCCATTCCTTGTCTTGTTTCTTCTTTCTTCCTAAAACCGTTGAGCACGTTTCGTTGAAAATTACCTTCAGAGAGTTCCAATGGTCTTCCACGGATGATTCCTCAGTGGTGCCACGTAGTGTTTCCTGCTTTGCTCTGACAGTTGCAGTGAAGATGTCCTGTGTGATTGTGTCCTTCAGTTTGTGAGTGTTGAACTTGCATTGTGGCCTATCCCCCGGTATCCTCGAGGCTTTCAGCTTCACCTTGAAAGTCCCTTGTACCAGATAGTGGTCTGAACCCACATCTGCTCCTCTCCTCGATCTTGT